ATTTTAGTTAGTTGGTTATGTATTTTTTAAATAAAAAAAAAAATTTTGAATTTACTTACTTGTAGCCAGAGTTAGAGACGGTCGGATACTTATGACCGCTACTGTAAATTACTTAACTATTAGATTTAATAGATTTGCTTAATATGAAGAAAGATTAATATATCATAAATGGAGATTATTTTATATAGTAGAATTGATTAAACGATAATATAAATCATGTGAATATAACAGGATATTTGTGAAGATTTTTTTATATTTTTATCTATTTTATTTAATTAACTTATTGGACAATTTTAAAAGGGTAAAAACGTAATGATATGCAAAAATTTTATTGAGAGATAAAAAGATCACAAAATACATCAATATAGAAGAAAAAGAAAATACATTTATAAAAAGCTATCTATGATAACTATTACTAGCTATAAAAGATAAAGAGAGAGAACGTAGTTTATAGAATGGCTAAAAAGACAACGGCAAAGCGTAGTTCTATGACAGACAAAAATGCCAACGATATCTCTCCCTGATAAAAATATTTAGTAGTAAAATTAATCATTAAGAGACACATGATAAGAAAAATTAAATTCTTCACTTCTCTGATGAAGTTGCTCCAATATTTTTCTAAAGTTTCTCTGGATTTAGTTTAAATTATTCTGGAGATTTTGAACTGATTGAACATCTTCATAACTTTGGAGACAATCAACATCAGCTCTTGCACAATTATATTAGAATAAAAGACCCTCGTATTCTACTTCAAAGTTTCAATATTGACGTCTATTGCAAGATAAATGAGAAGATAAATAATGAATTTTATTAGATAAACTATCTACTTAAAACAAAGAGGAATTTAATAGTTATCGAAGCCTGTGATTTTCAATACCAAGTTCATCTATTCTTTATTGTTTTGTTTCTTCTTCTTGATTTCAAAGGTTGTATTAATAACGTGAGAAAAATTGCTTTCAAAAACTTTTGTTTATATTGAAAATATAAAAGCTGAAAATTTTGCAATAGTTTTAGTAAAACTGATAAAATTTGATGTAAACAGAAAAGATTTTTAGACAAATATTTATAACAAAATATTGTGGCTGTAAAAAATTCTCAAGATCATGAGAATTTTCCTTCCTGTAAGAATATAAACAAATATTAATTAGTCTATTTTATCGATAATTATCACACGCAATCACGCAATCTATTAAATAGAATTTGTAATTAAATAGAACAAATTGGAACAATTTAGAATTTTTGTAGAAATAAAAATCTTAAGAAGAGAGTAATGTAATAGAACTATCATAACGTAATTGATCTACATAATACATTATAAATAGTTACATAAGTGATATAGTTAATAGGATCGACTTAATAGATATAATTAATTATATAACACAAGAAAATGTAGATCTGAATGTCAAACATGTCAAACATATCTGATATATTTGATATATCAGATATACTTAACATATATGATATATTAGATTTATATTAAAAGTATATAAAGAAGACTAAATTCTTGACAAGAAAGTAACTATCAATTGCTAGATGCAATCTGATCAGTTTCACGATAACTATGTATAACCTTCCTTTGAGAAGATAGTTTAAGTAGCTTTAGAAGCTACTGAAGTAATTGTTAGCCAACGCAGATAACTAATCCTGAAGGCCTATTGACATAGGTAACCAATCTAGAAGATAGTAATTGTTCGCTGACGTAGATAATCAATCCAGAAGATAGTATTTTAGAGGCAACCAGGCCTACTACACTAGATTATAGTTTTAGTATTTCTTTTCTTTTATTATATTTTACTTGCGAATAAGCATATTATTTCATATTATAATCACTTAAAGTCAGTAAATTACCACTTATTGATAAATTACATAAATATCTCCTATAGTTAATTTAAAGTAAAAGCTTGTTGAATTATTAAAGATTACTGCTCAATTAAAAAGAATAAACATTCAAATATCTCGTCTAACTGTCACAATTTGCAAAGATTGCATGTTAATAATATAGTCTTTTATTTTATTTCAAACTAATATTATAAGAGTAAAATTTAATAATTAATATATATTTTTATATTTTTATAAATAATAAATATATTAATATATAAAATTAATAAATTTTTATTAATTATTTTATTATCTAATAATAATTATTTATTATAATAATTAAAATTAAAATTAAATTAAAAGAAATAATCTATATTTAAAATTAACAAATATTTAAATACAATCTACCTTTAATATAGAGAAGTAGTTATTTTGCACTTCAATTTTATTATAGCAAATTAACAAAGAATTTGAAGGATTTGATTAGTTACTTCATTATAGAGAGGAAATTTGACATATTTAATTGATCAAGCGTTATGTAATTCATTATATTAAAATTCGCTATATTAAAGATAGATAGTATTTTATAATAAAAAATTTATTTTATTTACTAATTGTGATACTTATTAATTAATTTACTTTGCATTAAACTGATTAACTAATTTTAACTTTAAATTTAATCAAGTTTACTAATTTTATTACAGATTTATTTGATAAATTAAGTTTTGGTATTTTATGTAGCTTCATGATATATTATATATAATTTTTAAATTAATTATAAATGTAATTTAAAATTTTTTATTTTTTTATATTATATATAATCACTAATATTTTAATTTATTTTTTTATATAAAATTATATTTAGTTATTTACTAATATTATTTTATTTATATATTTAAAATTAATTAATTTATAATTAATTTAAATATATTTTTTAAAAATTTAATATAATTTAAAAGATTTTATATCAATAGTATATTAAATTAATATAAAAAATATATTAAATAAAAAAGAAAATTATCTAAAATATTAATTAAATAATAAAATTATAAGATATTTAATATAATTTATTTTTAAAATAAGTTTTTTCTTAATTTTATAATTTAAATTTAAAATTTTATTAAAGATATAATTAAATTATTTATTTTTAAATTATAGGGATTAATAAGTAAAGTTTATTTACTTATTTACTATAAATTTCTTTTTGATTTATCTTTATGAAAAATTAAATTTTTAAAAAAATTTTTTTATAAATATATATATTATATCATAATTATTTTTACATAATAAAATATTTAAAATTATATATAAGCTAAAAATTTTATCATTAACTTTTACCAATTTTATTGAAATTTACTTTAATTATATTATAATATTATAAAGAATAACTTTAATTATTATAATATTTAATATATTAAGAAATTTTATAAATTTATTAGTAATAAAATAAAATAATTCACTTAGTTTATAATTATATGAATTTTTTAAAAATTATTATTATAAATTAATTTTAAAATTAAAAAGTTTTTTAGTATACTTAAAATATCTTTTAATAAAGTTAATAAATATATATATTAAACTATATTTTTTTATATAATAATTATATTATTAAAATTAAATTTATATTTTATTAAAAAAATTAATAATCTTTTTTCAAAAATTTATAGGTAAATTTATCCATTAGACAATTTAAAGGATAAAAGTAAATGGAAATTAGATTAAATTTAGTAAAAAAAAATAATTTGTATATAATTTAACAAAAATATAATAATTTAATAATAAGATATTATACAAAATGAAATTTAAACATTTATTGATATAAAAAAAATTATTTAAAATATTTTTAAATAATAAAAAATGTTAATTAAATAAAGGAATTAATATATATATTATCAAAAATCTGGTTATTATTCTTTTTATTAAATTTATCTAAATAAAAAGAATAAATTTGATTAACTTTTCTTTTTATATATATTAAAAAATATAATAAAAAGACAATTTTTAAATCAAAAAATTTATATATTAATTATCAATTACGTATATTATACAAAAAAATTACTTTTATTTTTATGAACTTAAGATACAAAAATTTAGCATATTAAGGAGATCATAGTAAAGAATTATTTATATATTGGAATATGGAATCAAATTCTATGTTTCGCCGAAACGATCACATACCAAGTTAGGAACATATAAAAAAGTCATTAAAAAGATAACGAGAAAAATTTTAAATTAAGCAAGTTGTTCCATCATTTAATTGAGAAACATAGCTAATAAAAAAAATCCATTTAACTTTTTCATAAACAATAAAAATCTAAGTCCCATCGCTCCAAAATAAATTTACATAAATTATTAGACAACTCTAGGTGCCAAACTAACGACTTTCCCCCATTTCTTACCTCTCAATTCAGCCCCTACAACACCTAAAACTCTGGTACCCAAAGGTTCTTGACGGTTATTTAATAGGATACAAGCATTATCATCAAATCTGATATATCTACCATCAGGTCTTCTTGTTTCCTTACGAGTTCGAACAATTAAAGCTTTCTTTACTTCTCCTTTACGTATTTGTAATTTGGTAGATGGATTTGCTGCTGCTGTTGTGGAAATTACTTGTGAAATTGGTTTTGCTTTTTTAATTACAACTGTTATTGGGTCGCCTATGTAAATTACAAGGATTCGGATCATTTTTTTTTTTTTTTGTGGTAGTTTTCGAAATAAATATCTATCTATATGTCTTTACCTATTCGACCATATCTACCACCGTGGGCCACTCTTATACATTCTGCGAATATTGCACCAGAATTATCGATTACGTTTAATATTGTTTTTAGTTGAATCATTAAATTTTGACTTAATATATATATATATATATTTTTTTTTTTGATTATAGTTGCCAATAGTTTAACACAAAAGCTTTGATTAAAGAGCTCGTTTTCAAACTACTTTGATATTTATAAAAATAGATTTCGATTTATCTATAGATGGATCGGCGTTGTGTTCAGAAATTGGAGATAAAAAACCATCGAAAAGGTATGGCTTCGTTTTAAGTAATCTTTAATTTATGATAATATTATGTCTATCCTTTCATGTATACGTTTTCTAATTTATCCTAATAAAAGTTATTCAGAAACAATTCGGAGGTTTCAAAATAAATTATTAATACCAACGTCATATAATTTACCTAGTTCATATAATACGAGAGTTTGTTATTTAAATATTCTTTAAAAAGTTAATTTTAAATCAATTCTAATATATATTAATGATTTTTCTTCAAACCGAAATTATTTAGTCGAGAATATTACAAAATATAATGAAGCATAATCGAAAATTTTCATGTTCCAATCATCAAGCTAATAAATCATCAAAAAATAATTCTTCACCAAAAGATAAGGATTCACAAGAATTATTCGAACAACAATATATTCGTCAATCATTAAAATCAAATAATGTAGAGGATTTTTGGCATGAAATTGAAGTTTATACGCATGAGCCAGGTAATAAAATTAAAGCTTGTTTATGATATTGTTTTTTTGATCAATTAATTAAACGTTAATAAATATATTTTTAAGTATAGAATTTTTTTCGTTTAGTGGACCAAATTCGAGATTGACTATCAAAGATACAAACTTTATACGTAAATTAATATCAGCGGCTATAACGATGAAACGTGGAGGTGATTTAGTGCCCAGTTTAATAGCAAAAAGATGTTGTGAACTATATGAAACTCTTGTTAACGTTGGTATATTTATTTATTTCATTCTTTTAAAATTCGATCTCATTATATATGAATTATTTTAATTTATGATGAACTAGGAAGATAAGATTAAATTCATGTATATACTTGCTCGTGATTTTGGTAGGTGAAAAATCAATAAATGTATTTTAATTTGGCTGCTACATTTTTTAAAGGGATGATTAATAATTGTGATAAAAGGTGTGAAGAGAGATGAAGCTCTTAAAGCGGCAAATAATTATACTAATTTATCAAATGAAGATGCGGTATGATTAAAGAATTCATCGTTAATTTCATCTTGCTTTATTTAATTCATATTTTATTGTTTAATTTATTTAGTATGGAAGAGCAGTACTTCGAGCAGAACAAATACTTCGACATGCTATGAATCCAGCACATAATGTATTTTTTGATCGGATAATTCCATTACCCGGTGGAACAAAGTTTTTAGTGAACATGCGTGCCGATTTACTAGTAAGTCAATGGGCATTTCATTGGAAATGTCTCTTTTATCTTGAAAATTATTTATAAGTATATATTTATTTTATTTTATTTATTTATTTATTTATTTTTTTTTTTAAAAAAAAGGCATATTTGAAGGAAAATAGTCATGAAGCATGTTTGATGGCGTTAAATGAATCTTTGAAAGAAAAACTGTCATCATTATTAGTTGGATTTTTGGATTTAAGGAGAATAACGTGGTATTCATCTGCTGCTATCCTAGAGAAGGTCATAGAATATGAGGCAGTGCACGCTATAAAGGATTGGGATGACATGAAGAGGTTAATGAATTAAGATAATTTATATACGTATTTATATTTTGAGTATTTATTTGTTCAGGTTAATAATTCCTTTATTTAATCATTTACTTTAGACGTGTCGGACCTGGTAAAATAATATTTATATTATTATTATGAATAATTTGAAGAGACATTAATTTAATTTATATGCAGGAAGACGCCTCTTTGCGTTCTTTTATCAAAATATGAGACATGAGCCACTTGTATTTATTCAAGTAGCCCTAACAAAAGAGGTTTCGGACAACGTGCAGGTAATATATTTATATAGTTTGGACATTCTTTACAACTAATAATGAATTAAAAGTTCATAATTATTTGTAGGCAATATTGGAAGATCCCAACCCAACAAAGTCAATACCAACGATCGAAGATATACACTGTGCGATATTTTATTCAATAACAAGTCAACCAGGATTATCAGGCATTGAGCTTGGTAATTTTTTAATTAAAAGAGTAGTAAGAGAGTTGCAAACCGAATTTCCAAGCATAAAAACTTTTTCAACATTAAGTCCTATCCCAGGATTTCAAAAATGGTTAAATGCTGCCATAAATGTCGAAGATGATAGTATATTAGTTGATGGTGAAGCTGAAAAAATCAAAAATTTAAGGAGACATTTAGAAGGTAGTGGAACTGAAATCTTAAAAGTCATATTAAAATCCAAAGATTGGATTAGAGACGAGGTGTGTTTTCATACATTAAAACCTATCTTGATGAGATTATGTGCAAGGTATATTATTAGAATTTATTTTATCCATTTACTTTTTAAATATGAATTGGACTTGGATTCTCAAATTTTTTTTTGTTTAAAAAAAAAAAAAAGATATATCCTAACAGAGAAGCGAAGAAATTTGGCGTTGGATCCCGTTGGTAAGTTACAATATTTACAATATCTAATAATTAAGAATACTCACCTAAAAAATTTTACATGTAGCTAATTTTCATATCAGAAATGGTGCATGTGTTCATAGATTAAATTGGTTAGGTGATATATCAAGTAAGTGAAACCGTATTTTTTTTTTTTTTTTTATTCTTATTACTAAACTAATCTATTTTAACGAATTTAATAGATAAAGGTTTAGAGGAGTCATTTGGAATAATGGCAAATTATAATTATATATTAGATCATATTGAAAGGAATAATCAACAATATATGTGTGATGGAAAAATTTCAGTATCAAATGTTGACCCTTTATTAGTTGAAGTAGCAAATAATTCTCCAAATATAGTAATAATTTAAAATAGACCTTTATCATTTTTAGAGTGGGTTTTCTTTTTATTGTAAAAATACGTTTATTCGGCAAAAACTTGTGATTTTCATTATATAATTTTATTTGGGGAGTCGATGACACAACTCTTAAATTTTAATTACATAAGAAAAAAATTCATCTCCATTGGCGTTCACCTCATGACTTGCTGCGGTGCGGTCCTTGTTTTCCTATCTTTAACCAATCATGTGATCTTTTCATAACGATGATGATTGGATCAAATCAAGTTTTATTTATTTTGAACGATTTTTTTTTTTTGAAAAAAAAAAGACCATGTGGGGAAAGTTTATACAATGTTCAACTTTTCCATTCTTTATCACTCAAAAGAAAAATTTGTCATTGATTCATTTGTAAACAACCTTAATCTTTTTTTTTTTACTAAATATATTGTATAATAATTTAACCAAAATGTTTGTTATACTTATTGGTAAAATTTCAGGTTACTGTGAAACCAACCATTTTTAATTATTTATGAATGAAACTTGAAAACGTGTTTATCACAAACAAATCTATTTTTATATTAATGTCTGTTATTTGAATATAATAAGGAAATAATACCCTATTATACCCCCATTATTACTACGATTCTAAATATATACATTCGAAACGAAAAAAAGAATTTTTTTTTTTGATGGTAAGCTTAGTAATGAGGAATCTTAATCAGATCATTCGAGAAGGGAGGGAATTCCTGTAAAGAGTTTAAAAGGGATTTCCTGTTTTAAAAAAAAAAAAATAATAAATAATAGGGAAAAAAGTTCCAATTATACCAAATTTTTAATTTTGGTTACCATAAATTAAAGTTTCAATTTTAAAAAGATTTTTAATTAAACCTCGAAGCACAGGGAATCGTCATTCAGCATCCGAGCAATCGTTGAACTTGTTGACTTATTGATAATAGGAAATCCTAAAAGAATTGTTGTCGATCAACAATTTACACGATTTACAAATTAAGATCAATGCGAGGACCACGCGAGAAATTAAAGGTTTTGAACCTTATTTACATTTTTTATTTTATTTTTTGTTTAAACATGATTTTCTTTGTTTCAAGAGATGGAAATTTATACTTGTGTTCAATTTCGTATGTAATCGGTTATTTTCTTTGGGGTAAAAAAAAAAGGGCGGGCTGATTCAATCAGTATTGTAAATTGTAAAAAAAAAAAAAAAATTCGAACTCGGAAGATCATTTTATTTTAATAAATTGTTCCTCAAATTTCCAATTTAAAACATCTATAAGTTTTTTTTTGGAATGACATTTGAAATAAAAACAAGATAACTTATCAATAAAATATATAATAATAAATAAAAAAAAAAAAAAGAATTCAATCAATCTTTTTGTTTTGCTTCTTCGAACTTCTCAAGTTTTTATTTTTGACGATGGATGGACGAAAAAATTGGCGCGGAAATAAGATTCCGATTATGTCGGCATTTCCGGGGATTAATTACATCATATTGTTTCATTTATTCAACAAGATAAAATAAAAAAACTTTTGCTCAACGAGAAAAAAAAAAAAGTTTTTTAATTCTTTTTATAATATCACCCACCTATTTTATATATGCATATATTAATATCCCTTTAATAAATGAATGAATGTTAAATTAAAATAAAACATAAAACAATATAACGATAATCTAAGATATGTAAATAAATAAATTTTTAAAAACTTTGAATTTTTTAAAGTTTGTATGGGAGAAATAAAAGTTGCCGCTTTTTTTTAAAAAAAATAAAAATAAAAATATGTATGCTCTTTGATAATTAAAAAGGAGATAAGGTAGGTTGATGATGAGTTTATTGAGTTGCCGTTTGATGATGATCTTGTGCTGAGAAACGGTCGTACAAAATCTCGAAAGAACAGTAATGACGAATACTCGATCCATTTCTAGTTAGAATTTTGTTGAACATTCAATGATTTCCTTGTATATTCACCAAGAATGGGACATTTAACTGCGTATCATGCCCCAGATCTTAGCACAAATGCACATTTTTTTGAATATATAAACCATAGTCAAATTCTCCTCTTTTTGCTGGAAAAGAAGTGAAAGTCAACGGCTGCGCCTTTGCATTTTTTCATGACCGAACACCACAATCACCTGCAGAAGGGCGTAGGTGCTTTAAGAGGCGGAAGAAATGATCAAGCAAACATCAGGGCTTTATCATCCTCGCTTAACCATCCAAGAAGATTAAGTGGTGGTTCTAAACAACTACCGCCTTTACCTCCTCCACCTGTGGCGAACAAACTTGCTCTGGTGGAACAAACTTTAGAACAAAAAGAGAATAAAGCACCAAATGCTTTAAACATCTATCGGAAAAACTACCTTTTGTATCTTAAATCGGAAAACCATACGATGTTGGTCAATGACTCTCGGTTTTCATCAATGGTTTCTGCTGCGTGGCAACAAGAACCGCCGGTTGTGAAAGAGTATTATGAAAAGATTGCTGCTGAAATTTCAAAACCACAACAAAATTTGGGAGTTCATATTAACACAAACAATGGAAGCGAGCTGGTTGATCCTAGAATTTTTGTAAGCGATGAACAATTTGATTTTGCCTTGTATCGCAATTCAGACGACCATCATTTAGGTAAAAACTTATATATATATATATATCTCACTTATTCTTTTTTATTTTATCTTTTTTTAATTTTTTATTTTTCAAACATTTTAATTTTTTTTTTTTTCTCTCAGTTGCTCCCCCTACACCTGTATCGCTACCTTCAACACCAGCCGAGCCCAAGTTACCTCTGTTCGACTCCTTTGATTCTGATGAAGAAACAGAATATGACACTGTTAACTTCTTTCCCAGTTTAGACTCTATTGGAAGGAGACCCTTATCAATTTCAAAAAAGTGAAGGAATAGTTCTCGTCAACCTTCCCGTTCACCTCGTTAATCTTTGGCGATTGAAATCACATTCACACACAAGAAACAAGAAAAAAAAAATTTAATTTCGAAACTCGAAAAATCATAAAGCGGATCGTTCGAATCGACGGATCACAAAACACAAAAGTTCGATTCTAAATGCGACTTGCGAAAGGATAAAAGTTGCGCCCGGCTCTGCGTCATGATGGATATTTATATATTTAAATTATTTTTTATCTTCCATTTTTTTTTTTTTTTTTTTTTTAATATCTTTTTTTTTCAACTTTCCAAAAAAAAAAAAAAATCAAAAAAATCAAAAAAAAAAAGCAAAAAAACATTTACTTCCCGCCGTATTCTTCTCATATTTTTTTTTCCGATAGATAGTTAACTTCTGCGTCTAGTTTAAAATTAATGGTAAATTTACCCCTTCCGAAAAAAAACCCTTCGAACATGCGAATCATCGTCTTTCTAGTGATACGAAATTTTTTGTGGTACGAGTCGTAACAACCAAAGGCGTGGCTTGCTGGTTCTTTGCCACGTAGCCTGTGTAGTAGTAGTGGTGTGAAAGAAAGTTATTTTTAAATAGAATTGCTGGGACGTATAACAAAACGAAAATTTTAATTTATGACATTTTTTTATGTAACAAAAATTTAAGCTATGTACATATGTCTCAAGTAATTTTATAATTTTTTTTTTATGTATACGAAATACATTGTCATTCTTTTTTTGGTACCAAAAAAAAAAAAAAAAAAAAAATTTTTTTTTTTAATTGATTTCCATTTTTTTTTAAAGTGAAAAAGTGGGATAAATTAATGCCGATTCCGCAGCATTTTACGAGGTTGCGCAGTAAATCAATAATATATGCGCACATCTAAATAATGCATAATATGAAGTTTTGCAACCGAATACAAGAAACCGATTCGAACCATTCATCTACACGTTCGCGGATCCCCCTTTCCTATTTATTGGTTGGTGTTAATATAACGTGAAAAGCAAAAAAATTTTTTTTTTTTATGATGAACAAAATAAAAAAAAATTTGATTATCGTCGGTCACATGAAGGTCGGTCATGTACGGTTGTTATCTTTCTTGATTGTAACTCGTAATTTTGGGTTTAGAAATGAACAAATAGGTTCATTCAAACCTTCCAAAATGAATTGTTTTGATTACAAACAATTTTTAAAACCGAAAGCTCTTCTATAGCTTGACCTAATAAATCCATGCTTAATAATGCAATAACAAACCATAATATTATTGATCATGCATAACAAGTGTTATTATATGGGACGCTAAAATAAAATTCCAGGAAAAAAAAAAATCTTTCATTTCCCCACAATAGAGTTATGTCGTGATTGGTAAATGTATGGGAAAAACATTACGTGTATAACTGAATAATATTAAGTAAACTTATTTTGTGTAGGCGCAGTACGATCATTGGTGGGAATTTAAGGAAAAAGTTATGAAATACTCGAATAAAGAAGGATCTTTATCTCTAACGTCGAAAAACCTCACCTGTACAACATAATTAATCTCCTTTCGAGTGAAAAAATTTTCCCCATTGTTAAATAATCATTGTTTTCATCCTTTAACATTTTAAATGAGGACTTGATGATATCAAGACTTTGCGAATAGGAGAGCAATGTCATGCGAAGACCATGCAAAAAAAAAAAAAAAATAAAATAAAATAAAATTATTCATTTTATCATAATTTACAAAATTTTCATTTTCATCATTATTGGGCGCCCCGTGTTGGGAGAATAATTGTAATTATTATTATGGTGGTAATGAAAAAAAAAAAAACCAATAAAGTCAGATTGTTGGACAAAATCAAATAAAATGTCGTCGCATTGGCCTTATTCGGAATAGGAATCCTATGAGGCTTAATGATTTAAAAAAATGTACAATTATATTTTTAATACCAAATAAAGTTAGTATAATCACCATATACAAAATTCAATAAAAAAAAAAATATATAAATTGCTTACTAACTCCAGTATCTAGCTAGTTAAGATTCACCAAATTTCCCTTCCCTCCTCCCCACTTTTGGTTTGTTCGCTTCGTCATGGAACGAAAAACCGCGGCACAAAAAGTTTTGTTGTCACCCGATGTATTATTCTGTATATCGAATTATATCGATCGTCAGGATGATACCTTTAACTATCTCTTCGTTAATACGACATGGACTTTGGTAAGTAATTTCGTGTTTTTTTTTTTTGTTTTTTGTTCTTTTTTTAAAAAAAAAAATTTTTTTTTTTTCATCAAAAGGTAATGGTAAGACAATTATGGAAATCTCCCGTGTGGAAGACGGCTGGTTCCTACCAAAAATTTATACGCACGCTTCGTGGTAGGAAATCACGATTTTCATATGGTGTTATGGTTCAACGTATTATATTTAAAAGTCATCGATCTTATGGGAACATTCCGGATTATTCAACGTTGGATCTAAAATTGATTTCAAGAAAATGTCCGAATATTAAGCATATTACCATCGCTAATCCAAGACAACCTTTCTCGGTGACAAACGTATCGGCAATGTTAAGTTCCGCACCAAATTTATTATCATTCACCGTTTTGAACTGTGACAACGAATGGTTACATGGAGCTTTAAAACCGATGAGAGAAGGTTTATGTCCAAAGTTACAACACCTGGAGATTAGCGATTGGACTAGAAATTGGGCTTTTGACGTTTTAAGGGATGTGGGGGAACGTTGTAAGAATATTGTCTCTTTGAAATTATACCAACGGGTAAATAGGATGGATGTCGCAAAAATGATTGTGAAATCTTTTCCAAATTTACAAACGTTCGAATGTAGGCATATTAATTTCGCAGGGTTACAAGGACTTATCACGGGTGCCGTCAAACTTAGATCGTTAACGTCGCAATTTGAAGAAGATATCACGGATGAGGCTGCCGAAAGTTTAGCTTTCGCTTTCGCCAAACTTGAGTCATTGAGAATTAGAACCATTCATGTCATAGATTTTCCAAAATTTAGTTGTTCCCTGGCCAAACATCAATCATGTTTACGTCATCTTCATCTAGCCACCGTGTATATAACGGATGCGACGGTTGAAAAATTGGCGGAAAATTGTATTTACTTGGAATCCATCGAGATTTATATGTGCTTTCATTTAACAGATTCCGCCTTAAAAGCGTTGGCGAAGCATCGTAACGTTCATTTAAAACACCTCATGATAGCTTATAATCCTCGCATAACGGATGAAGGTATGACAAACATCGCCACTCATTGTATGAATCTAAGAAATTTCATTGTGATGTCATGTACAAAATTGACAAATGTAGCCTTCATAAATATCACGAGAGAATGTAAAAGTTTGGTAGAATTTACTATTCGTAATTTTCCTCGACAAACTTTGGCCTCCATTGTGCATACTTTGGCGACGCGTAATAAAGGAACTTTGAGAGTATTTAAAGCATATGATACAGGACTTAAAACCATTGACAATGCTACAAATCATAAACTTAATTCGGTTGCTTTAGAGAAATTAGCCATCAGATGTCCTCTAATTAAATCTTTGGTACTTAAATGTCAAATACATGAATCTGATGGAAGTGTAAGTGAGAGAGATCCTAAACAAAGAATGTCTCTTTGTTTTATTTTATTTTAGTTTTTTTTTTTTTTTATATTAAAAAGAAATCTAATCTCAAAAAATCTTTTTTTTTTTTTAGTCTCTTATAAAAACTTTTAAGAAATTTCAAAATCTTGAAGAATTAATTATTTATCCACCAGTAAGATTTAACAAATCAAATATCAAACAATTAGAAAAACATAAAAGGCTAAAAGAAGTTACAATAATTAACGGTCTCACATCTGACGCTGAATTGTTTATTGAGGAATGTAAAAATGAAAACAAAGGTGGAATGTACATAACTGTTGTAAATTAAAAATTAAAAAAAAAAAAAAAAATCTTGGGGTTCCTCTGGAAGGTTTCCTAAAATAATGTTGGCATGAATTTACAAAAAACGAAATAAAAGAACAAAAAAGAATAAGAAAAAAGGAAAAAGAAAATAAGAAAAAAATAAATAAAAAAAAAAAAATAAGATACAATATAGCTTTTCTTTTCAACCAGAAAACTTGATTTCAACAACGAAAAAAAAAAAAAAAAATAAATAAATAAATAAAAAAAAAAGAACTGATTTTATATTAATATTCAAAACAAGATATATTCTGATCCTAATTAAAATTCTTATCTATTAAAGCATTTAAGGAAGTTGCAGAGAGTATATTTTCTTTTATGATTTAAAAGGCTATGTTTAAAAGATAATTCATTTATTAATAATAAATAAATTTAAAGAAGCTTTTAAGCGTGTGCAATTTGTACCTATTCTATTTCTTTTTGATTATTATATAAATACTTTTAACCATTTAATGTTTGAAGTATATTTATTACGATAATTTGGTAGATAGTCTCATTTCAAGCAGGTAACCATTCATTAATTTGCAGTTGTAGCAACCGAATACGGGTGGATAAGCCTAATAAACCAGTGTCATTCAGAGAGGTCAGTAAGGCATCGCTGAGGGCTTGCATATGTCTATGGTATAGGTGGGTTACTCCGTAGAAGAGTTTTGAGTGAAGACTATAAAAGAAATTATCTTTTTTTTTGTTATTACTTTATATTTTGATTCAATTTCGAAAGAGAAACAAGTTGGATCAAAAAAATTCTCTCGAATTTTTAAATACTTGTATAAAAAAAATTTTTTTATTATTAATTTGGTAATCCGCTATTCTAGATTTAAAACCCGAATAATTCTTCCCACTGTCCGCGTAAAATGTGTGTTGTGATTCTAGGCGAAAAAAAAAAAAATGATATATGATATATATTTACAATGATATAAAAAATAAAATTACAATTCTTCAAACACGGATTTAAAAAAAAAAAAAATTTAGATATAAATATATATACACATATAACTGAATTTACAAATAAAACTCTTCTAAAAAGTCTCTTCTAACACTTGAATTATTATTACTCTATCTTCTAATTATATTTCTAAATTTTAATAACATAATTCTTTAACTTGGAAAATTTCACATTCAACGATATCACTTTCAATTAAACCAAAATTATGCCCACCATTAAATTTAACAAATTTCTCTTGAAAATTAATAATTAAATCATCGGAAAAATACAATTCATTCGTACCATTATCAAATCTATTATAATTATTAACTGATTCAGAAGACTTATTGTTATTAACTCTGGAATAAAATAGTTCCTTTTTGGGTTTTTTCATCGAGAGCGTAATAGGCGAAACTTTAAAATTCTTTGAACAATCTTTCGTGCTTTTTGTACAATCCTTGTTATTTTTATCATCATGAAGCATCATTCTAGTTACATCACATTTTTCAAATGATTTTCCATCCCCAAATGTAAATATAAACATTTGTTGTAACGAAATGTTTGAATTAGTTTCAGAATTTGAATTAGAAAAATAATTGAATCCAACAGGATTATAACCTCCGACTAAAATATATCCTCCCAAGGTTGAACCTGACGATGGTAATTTTATTTTGGCTACTACCAGAGCAGGACCTTGATTAATACATCTATCATGATGAGTAGAAGCACCATCACGAGTCATTCTGAACAAGAGATTAAATTGATAAGCAGCTGGCGTCGCCATTGATGCTACATTAATAGGTTGTCGTTGTTGTTGTTGATCCAATTGAGCTTTTGTAGGTGATTTACTTGCTGTGGTAGTAAGGATATGAGTGGAAATTGATAATGCGGTTGAAATAGGGCTTGAACTTTGTTGTTGTTGTTGTTGTTGTTTATTCTTTTTGTTAAAGAATGAAAAGGTAAAACAATGTAAATTACATTTCTTTAGTTTAGAAGGAAAATTCGTGGTATTGACAACGTTAGGAACAACGTAATTGCTTTCTTGTATCCAATCAGTGATTTTCAATGCTTGTAAATGGTTCATTAATGCGGAATCTTCTAAAATGATGTTCGTTGATGTATGAAAATTTGTATATGCCTTTTTATGTTGCGTGGACTTGTGATGTGTTGTATGATGATAATTATTACGTTGATTATTTGACAAATAGTATCTGACGATTTCCTCTCCAACATCTGATCCAAAATCTCTCGTCAAATAATTTAAATAAGGCAAAATCTTGTCTAAAAAATAATTTCTACTAATATGACTAAATCTAACATATTTTTCCACCAAATTAAATATTAACTCATGAAACGTATTAAATTCATATTGATGCCATTTTTTAATGTCATGAGAAAATTCATAAATCTTTTCTTGTCCTATGGCCCATTGTAAAATGCATTGCCAAATGGCCCAATCATCTAATCCATTATAACATTCATTTAAAATCTTATCCATAATTTGCTCCGTTAGTAAATGCAAATCATTCTGTATAAGTAAACAAGTTGGGTCCTTCTTGATTATTGTCAATGTGTGAAGCAAAAGTTTTGAAAATGCTATTGGATTTGAATATGAACATTGTAATATCGGAACTATTTTCGTTTTTAACCAATCAGAGTTTAGGTGAATGAAATATGATTGTATATCATGTGTAAAATCTTGGAGAACCAATTCATCTGATGCTTTTAATAAGTCCAAAATGGTCAAAATATCCAATCTTTCCAACTTAACATTTCCAAAATAAAGATATCTAAACAAGTGTGTGACCAGTCATGGGTTAGATTATCATCCCAACATGTACATGTGAAACAGATAAGGAATTTAACTTTACCTTAGTATTGTGGTAAATACTTTTGAGGACAAATTTGGTTTATCAAAGAAATACATATCACCCTGTTTTTTTACCCAATGGTTTGAAAAGGCGGTACGAAAATAATATGACCTTTTACATAGGATGATTGAATGACTTCGAAACCTTTTAACAGATGGTCCTTCTCCCACGCTAATGATCACATCAAAATTTGTATTATTAGGAGAAAGAGGAATATTCGCATTGTTATTATTAGGGTCGAATTGAATCAATTTTTCAAAAGCTAAATCATCAGCATCCGTGTCAAATAAATTATTATTAAGCGTAGACGATGATGATGTAGTTGAACTTGAAGTATTTACGGTTAAGGTTGAAAAATCTGATGAGGAAGCAGTTGATATCGAAGAAATTTGTGATGTATGACGATAACGACGACAATTTGTACTATCATCATCTGGCAAGATGCTGCTAAAGGTGTCACCGATTATCTTGAAATGTCTTCGACTTTGGTAATCATATGAATTTACTATTTCAATCTCATGTGGAATATATGATGAATTGTATGAAGAAGGTGATATTGGTAATGTATTAGGTTTGTAATGTATTGGAATAATTGGAGCTGTTGGAGTTGGGGGAAATGTTGGAGATGTTGGCGATGTAAGCGGCGTTGACTGTGAATTTTTGGTTAGAGCATCGAGGCTCTCATACATCATTTCTGTTATATCTAACATTTTTTTTTATGTTTAGTGAAAAAAATAACTCAAGCAAAAATGCAGCGTACGAATAAAAGCATAAACCTAAAAGAAAAAAAAGGAATTTTTTTTTTTTTGGGAAAAAAGAAACATTTATTTTTTTAGTAGTATTTATATTGGCGTTAATTTATATACTATTATTATATAAACAAGTAACGTTCTTTATAAAAGCGCTCTAATCCGCAATTGTTAAGTCTTATATGTGATCTTATGATCTACGTGCATTTCATATGATATGACCAGCCGAGACCACAATTCCGCTATTTCATCCGGTTTGTCCAAATGATTATTAAAATTTAAAATGAAAAGATAACATTATTTTGTACCTGTAATGGTAATAAATACAAATTCAGCATCATTGAACTCATTCGAAAAATCGACTTCAATGTCATATGACCGAAAAATTCGGAGCTTAGCTATTAATTATTTATAGAACGAGGTTAGAATTAGTAATCACTAAATCATTTAAAAGTCGATGAGCATTTCTAAATTTATCCATACAAAATGGACACATTTGAACTATTTTAAACCTTTTCCAATGTAGTTTATTTTTAAACTAAACTTTAAAACTCCTGAAACATATCACAGATGGACCCTTGTAATACTCTAAATATTTACAGGGAAATTACGAGTTACGATTTCTATTATGACCGGAGGTTTCTACCCAAGAATCTGGTACAATCTCATATTTAAAGAAATATAATTAGACAAGATGACTCATTATTAAATCGGATTTCGGATTTTATTAAGTTAAATTTCCATTTTTATTCATTAGATTTTTTTTTTTTCTTTGTTATCTGTAAATTAATACTTTTGGCTTAGATAATTGTTTTGCCACATGTGTTTTTGTTATAAACAGTTTCAAAAACAATGCCCTAATTAATTGGTTAATTTATAACACGTTTTTTTTTTTTTATCTATCGGTTATGCGGCAAATCCAAATGTATCAAAAATTGTCACGCGAGTTTCATTCTTTTGTCAGCCAATAGTATAAAAAAAAGGAAAATGAAAATTTAGACTTAAATATTAAAGATAATGCGTACAATTTATCATTGTTTTCGTTATTTCAGTGGTATATTACAATGTCTGATTCATAATGGTATTACGAACAATGTAGGAAAATAAAAAACCTTCTGATAGGCATTTGATTTTCAAAAGAAATTTACTAAAAGGCGTTAAAATTTAAAACGCTATTACATGATTATTATCCAAAGAAAATCTACGCCAAGCAAAACACTTTCAAAGGAATTTACGCGAATGTGATTTATGATAGACAACCCTATCACAACAATGTAAAATTGATCTTAATTTATTTGATTGGATGACTTGTTATTTCTCGCTCGAAATTTGAAAATGTTACTTGTCTTCCAATAAAAGATATGCATAAAAAATATTAAAAAAATTTGATAAGAAGAGTTACTGTAGAATAGAAGATGTGGCTCGCACATCATAAAAACTTGGTTTTAGAGCTCAAATGAAATGTTGACAGTGCCCTTGGCATTTCTCTTGTCGCACCTATCATCTTGAGCGCATAATTTGATCCATAAACCGAGATGCCCGTAAATTGTGATTTATTGATTTATTTCTCTGGGAATTTTCGTACTCACACTAAATGACAAATCGCCTTTAGAGGCGTATTATTTCCTTTCTCTTTGGCTTGTTGATTTTTTGTGGTTCAGGGAGCAATTATCACGAAAGTAGTCACTTTATGAATCTTGCCTTCATCTTAGGAATGTTATCAAAAAAAATCATATATTTTTATATCATTAATTAGTATCTTTTTGTATTAATTTAGAATCAAAAGTTTTTTGAATTTTTTTTGTTATAGTATTTTCTGTAATTTAGTATTTCTATATTTTTTATATTATTTAAAAAAAAACTTTATTAAAAACTAAAATTACATGTATTACGAATTTATATTACTGTATATAGTATATTTATAAAAAATTTTATTACTCAAAATGCTTATATGGGACATACTGCAACAAAACCAGACAAAGTGAACATTGGTATTACTAAGGATTTCAGGGATCAAAATTTGTAATGTGATTATAATTTGTTATCTTAAGTGATATATAGAACTACTTCTATGTAAAAATAGTTAATATGAAACTTATTTACATCAGATCTACTATGAAACCCAAGAATTACAGCACTATTAGAAGTATTTTAAAGAAAGAACAAAGTGAAAAAATTGTTTCCTATATCTTCAAAATAAATGATACTCAGGCATTGGAAGCTTATCTAAGTAAGGAAAGGATTACTTATGAAATTTATCAAAAGGAAAGAAAAATAATAAATGTTAAGAAAAGAAAGCAGCATGAAGGTGTATTGTTACCTAATAAGAAGCAGAAACCTTTAGAAGGAAAATAACTATCATTTTCTTTAATAGTTGGAATTATACAGAAGGAAATATCTAAAATTACTTTCTTATTTTCAATCAAGGTCATTTCTTAGTTTCTTTAATTTCAATTTGTGCAGTTAATTGACCATTCTGTTGTTATAATTGGGTTAATTAAGCTTTTAAATCATTGATTTCTTTTAATAATTCTTGTGGAGTTAATTCTTTTAGTTGTTTGTTTTCTTTTTCTAGTTGCTTAATTCGATCTAATAATTCCTGTTTTTGTTTTTTATGCCAATATTCAGCCACTTCTAAGGCTTCCAAGTGTGTATTTACTTCCTCTTTTAACTGTCTTTCCTTTTCTTGTAAGCCATTTATTTGCTGTTCGTAAAAAAGTGCTATTCCTCCGTTTTGATGAGATAAAAGAGGAAGTTCTTTTTCATTTTTCTCTTCTTTGCAATCACAAGTATATCTAGTCTTTAACCTTCTACAATCACACTCAGGCAATTTATCATTTTTAAACTTCTCTTCATCAGGAATTTTTTTGAACATCAGATCTGCGCAGGTTTGCAATATGATTTTTTTGTGCAGATTTCTGTACATAGCGCCAAACTTTGAAGAAAAATTTCTATGATTTCTGTGCAGATTTTTAGGTTAAAAATCATGCATAGCATTTTTACTAAATAAATCTTCAAAACAATTTCATCTGTAAATTACATGATTTTATTTTACAATTAATAATTAATAAGTAAAATCATTTATTTTATTTTAATATTCACAAATATAATGCATATATAGTACATAAAAAAAAATTGCTTTAAAAAACATTACTAATAAAAAAATGAACTAGCAGTTAAAACTTCGATCCAGTCCAGAAATCTAAGAAAATTATGATATCTGTTAATTCAAAATGTTGCAAATGTATCGATAATTAATTAATAACTAACTTACCAAATTGTCATAATCATCGTCATCATCTATTGTTACTTCGCTTCCTCCAGCTTGTGATGTCAATTCATTTCATTTCCTGTTATGTACAGTAACTTTGGCTTCTTCGTTAGCTATCTGTTCTATTACTTTTCGTGTAATAGGATTCTTATTTTCGTAGACACGCTGTTTAATAAAAAATGTCAATTATAATATGCGAAATATTTAAAATTTAAAGTATTGCAAATATATTTACCAGAAATGCATTAACCTGTTTTATGACTGACTTGTCGTTACATTTTATTTCAGGACTTTTGGATTTATCGCAAATTTGTTAAATATTTTCAGCATTGAGATTTAATAAGATGTCACAGATAGCGAGAATATAAGTACAATGCATCATCAGGAGTTCCTTGTTTTTATATTACTTGAAAACAGTATCACCAATTCTCACAAGAAATTCGTTATCAGTAAAAAGTACGTCATAAACGGCTTGTATTTTTTTACTTAACTTCTATTCAGCGATCTTAATTATTAGTGTATTGTTATCGATATGATCTAACCGTTCACCATAGACGAAAAACATCGCATGACGGATGCTTGCTGCAATGTCATTTCGTTTACTACGACATTTGGCTTTAATCTAAAAACAAAATAAATAATGGAATTATTGAAGATCTCTTTAAAGTTTTGATATTTCAACTTACTTCCGGTAACAACTTTTCTTTAAACATAGAAATCCAGCTATTTCTACCTATACTTTCAATAAAATGGTCAGCATGTTCAGAAAGAAAGTCTTCTAATGTCTTGCGAAATTCACTAGCTGAAGGGAATAAGATAATATGTAGTAGCTTCCTAACTGCTTCCTTATATGCACGCTATAAAATAATAGAATATCAATAGAAGTCGAAATAGAACAGCTTGATGTATTAACTTACACTCCAAAAATCATCAAAAAGCTCATTAAGTGCAACAAGCCTATTTAATGCTTTGGTGTTCGCTTTTTGTCGCTCACTTATATATTTGCAAAGTTTATATAATGCGTTAATTTTTGAATCAATTAAATTCATCGTATAATTGAATTCTTCTTTTGTAAGGTAAGCTTTGGACATATTTTTATTTATAGAAGATTGTGAGACCAGTTTCTGTGGAGAAATTACAACATTGGTTACAACTGATTCATGTTAATTATCATCATCAGACGTTCTATAATATTCATCATCGTTCTAAAAATCATCGACTTTATCTATATCCATAGGTGCTAGTTCGAATGATTTTCTACGTGAAGTTCTCTAATTCTTTTCTATATCTGTAGACATTAGTTTAAGCGATTTTTTACGCGAAACTCCTTGATCTTTTTCTAAATCAAAAGGTACTACTAGCTCAAATGATTTTTTGCACGAGTTTACTTGGTCATTTTCTACATCAACAGACAGACTTTCTTGATCATTTTCTACATCAACATGTAGGTTTCCTTGATCATTTTCTACATCATCGGTTGATAATCTAGCTGTTGTTGATTCTTTTTAAAATTTTTAAAAAAAATCAAAATATTATTATAAATATATATGTCGGTATGTATATAAAAAATTCTATAATGTTAAATTTTTTTTTGATTACTTACTAACATAGGATAGCATTTGTGAAAATTTGTTCGTTGCCTTTTTTCGTAACTGAGTTGTTTCAACTGAAATTTCAGTTGTATGTGATTTGTTTAAAAATTTTCGTGGTTTTTTAGTATTCATATTTTTAGCGATGTTGGATAAAATAAAAATTTGTTCAGGAAATATTGTTTCTTATAAAATAAATAAAGAATTAATTAATTAATTAAAAAAAGGTAATAGTGTAACTAGGTAAAAATATTTAATATCGAAGATTAAATAATTAAAAACTCGATTTACTTTACCTCCTTTAATTACTTTGATTTTTTTTAATGTTATTGAAGAAAATGGATCTGAAAAAAAAAACAATAATGAAAATCAGATAAAAAATATTCACAAAAAATTAAAAAGTCGAAGGATAGAGAATTTCATATTTTTATTAAAAAAAAATAATAAATAATGTGATGCTTGGAGTATTAAAATATTACACAATGATCATTAAGCCGCAACTGATATATTTAACTAAAAATTAAATCAATTACCTGATTGATAAAGTCAAAGAAAACAATCATCAAGTAAAATGCTTAAAAGCCAAGAAAATATTAATCAATTACATAATTGATGATATAATTAAAAGCTAAAAAGCCATCATCAAATTTAATTATTATATTAGTTATATAAAAATTGAAAAAATAAAATCGCATAAACCATAACCAATTCCTCTCAATAAATCATTACTTTATATTCAATTGTGTTTCATACGTTAATTTTTAGAAACAAAAACTAATAATGAATGAATTTTATTGTAGAATTTGCAAGAGAATCTTTTTAACTTCTAGCGGATTAACACGACATGCTAACACTATGCATCATGGTAAAATGTCACTTCCCAAAGATCACAATTGCAGTAGTCAATACAAAGTCCAGAACATGACTCGAGCTTGTGGAGTATGCTGATCACAACGACACTGGAGTCAGCTTTATTCACCCTCACAGTAAAACCTTCATCGTAAGTTAATATAACAGATATAATCATAGATAAAAACCTCCAAAATGAGCCACAATATAATCTGTGAAGTCACGTAGAATTAGAAACTGAAGATATCATTGAAGAAAATATCAAAGATATGGAAATAGACTTGCAAATAAATGCCAAAGATCACGAACTCGAATCTAAAGATCTTCAGGATGCATCTTTGAATAATGCCTTAGACGTTATCGAAGAAAAAAATAGGCCAAAATGTATAGCAATATAGCCAAATAAAGCGTATTGAGATTTCATGGAGTTGGTGATAGAAGGTAACATCACCAATAAGATTGGTGATAAAATAATAAAGTTTTTCAATAAACATAGCAACTTGAAAGAATCTCCATTACCAAATTCAACGAAAAAAGTAAAGAATATCTCAATCAAATAAAATCACCTTTAATTAATTTTAAAGAGAGAGTCATTGCGACTTATAACAAAGTTGATTTCACCCTCTATTATCGTCTGATTTTCCGAGCAATTCAGACTCTCTTACAACATTCAAAAGTATCTGATAATTTTGTTCACAAGGGAATCTTAAAAAAAGATTATAATGAAAGGATATTCAGAGAACTGTTCGAATGTGACTGGTGGCTAGAAACGGAAAAGACTCTTCCACCTTTAAACCATCTTCTATCTATCATTTTGTACTTAGATGCAATGACTTTTGATGGACTTGAAAAGACTTCAGGTCATCCTGTATTTTTAACACTTAGAAACCTTCCAAATTGGATTCAAAACTTATCAGAAACAAAAGTTCTTTTAGGATTTTTGCCTAAAGTACAGGATTCAGGAATCAAAACTACCGAATCATTTAGAAATTTACAACATAAGATATTTTACAAGTGTTTCAATACCATGCTTCGACCTCTGTTAGAAAAGCCTGATGCACTATATTTCAGAGTCAAAGGATAACCTATGTGTTTTATTGTGCGCATATCATTTTTTCTTTCAGATATGCTCGAAGCTGACGAAATAACAGCAACGTATAAATCAGCCTGATGTAAAATGCTATGTCATACTTGCATGATCTTACAAAGTGATCTAAATGATATGAATATCACGTTAGAGAGCATACCTCTTAGAACTCACGAAAATATGCAGGAAATAGTACAAGATGATCAAGGAAAGGACTTTTCTATACATTCTATCAAAAACACCTTTTGGAAATTCCTGTTAAGTATCACTATTATTTTTAAAAAATTATAAATTTGAATTGATTAAACTAAAAATATTTAAAATTTTTATAGAAATCTGAATATTTACGAAGCTTGTGTTCCTGACCGTATGCATCATATTGATCTTGGACTCTTCAAATATCAATTAGAATTCACACAAGAAATTCTGAAGAGTGTCAGAGGAACGGAATTACAGAAGATTTTTGATGATCGTCTCTGTCAGATTTCTCACTTTTCTGGTCTTAAACTACCAAGTAAATTAGATTACTTAAAAGTAGCTACCGCATCAGATTATCGTCATATCATGAAAATTATCCTTTTTGCTCTAGATGATATTTTCGACGAATGGGACGAAATAACCTGTAATGAACTTTGCAATCTTTATTCAAAGTTTAACAATATGTATATTATGAACAGAAGAGAATCGTATATAGAAAGTAATATAAAAAAATTTGAGGTAATTGTATTTAGTTAACTACATTTGGTTAAAATATATATAGTATATATATTAACGAATCTGTTAACAGAAATTAATCATTAGTTGGAGTACTAACTTTAAGAGAATATTCACTCCATTATCATCAATGGAATGCAGTTTTCCTAAATTGCACAGCTGGCGGTATCATGCAGGTAACTGAATCTTCAGATAATTATTAAAAGAAATTATAGTTTTGTGACTAATTTCAATGGTGTGTTCTGTCAATTCCTGCGATTTGTAAATACGGAGCATTAAATGGGCTATCAACGAAAACATATGAGACTCTTCACAAATATTATGTCAAAACTTCTTACCGATTATCAAATAGGAAAGATGTGATGTGGCAACTAATAAATGCTGTTAGTTAAAATCTGAACAAATATAAAAGAAATATTTTTTTTTTCTAAATAATTAGAGACATGATAGATTCAACAATCTAATACTTACATTTTGTAGGCAAAGTGTAATGAATTAACCCTAAAGATTAGTAAAGTTAATCGACGTAAAATCGAAGGATTCAGAAAAGTCCTTTTAGAGTTACAACTGGATGCCATTAATCAAAAATAAAATATTTTAAAGAATCGGAAAATTCTCCACATGCAAATATTATCGAAGGATTACCTTAAACAATTTTAGCACTAGATATTTTTTTAGATACGTTTTCGCAAGATTCAGAAGTGAAGACTTTTGTATTAAAATTTATGAATCAATTCATTTAGAAAGTGATAAGATTTTGAGAACTTCCACAAGGTTTCAAGGAAAAGAATGGTTCAGCAATATAGCGGTAATTCTAGCGGAGGATCAAAAATAATACAGTTTGGATGATGGTGCTTGGTATAGAAAAGTAAGTGAGACTCTAAAGATATCAAATTTCTCTTTCATTTTTTTTATAGTATGTTTCTTTAACAGAATTTCTTTTGAAGGTTTTGTTATTATTTAAATTCTTTCAGGGATCATTCACAAAGGAGCCATATAAACTGGCTCTTGTTCGATGGTATGATATTTATCAAACAGAACCTGAACTTTACGGCTGTTCACAGCTATATTACACTAAAGAATACAATGCAATCCCAATTAGTTCTATAAACCAAGAGGTTCATATCGTGTCAAGATTTAATAAGGAAAATCATTTTTTATTAAATAAATACATGTTTTAATAAATTCTAAGAAAAAATAATCCTGTATAGTGAAGTTAATAAAACTTCATGAAAAAAAAAATAAAAATAAAAAAATGAAGTTCTTTTTTAAAAAATAAAGTTAAGGTTAGTTTCAAAAAAAAAAAAATAAACTTTATGAAAAAAAAAATTAAGTTATTATTTAAAGTTAAAAGTTTAGTTTAAAAAAAAAATAAACTTCACTCAAAGGACCGAGTTATTAAGAAATCCCGAAGACCTTTTTTTAAAGATTATACATTTTACAGATTATCATAGATTAGGTTTCTGAAAAATTGAAAAAATGATGACGATCTTCATTTTTGCAGATTTCTATCAAAAAGGTTTTAAAAACTAGTAGCGATCTGCATTTTACTGATCGTTGCAAAAATTTCTAAAAAAATTGCACATATATTATAAAATTGCAGACCTGAATAGATCTATTATCCAAAAAATTTCCCGATGTTTACAGTTTTCACAAGCCTTATCACTTTCAACTATTTCACCAGTCACTTTGCTTCACGTTCTGATTTGACAAACTGCTTTTTTCAAACCAGGGCAGAAAACACAAGTAGAATTACTGCTGTATCATTCTTCTAAATCTAAGATTGTGTAAAGCAGTTCTCTTATGATTACTTAACTAGAACTTCTATTTTAGCAACAATTGTTTGACTGTGAAACTTCTCTCTTTTGATTAATTTCTGTAATTGCTAAACCTTGGCTTTTGTTTTTGTTTTTAATTGCTTGAAAATGCTTTATTTATTTAAAATCCTACTTTCTACTTCTTTAGGAAGAGAGGGTAAGGGTTTTCTTTTCAAATATAGTTGTGTTTATAATTCTTGTCTTTCCTTTGCTTCATCCTCAAATCTCTGATCATTCTTTTTTAACATTTCTAATTTTTAGACTAATTTTTCTTACAACTTTGCATTCTTTGTTATTTCCTCTTCAAGCATTTTATCAGACTTTTGGAACATTAGTAATTTTTCTTTGATTTCATCATTCAAAAGACCTTTTTGTCAATTTTTTCATTCTTCAGCTATATCTAATGCCTTAGAAAAGTCTTTAGCATTCTTTTTCCATTTTTCAATAACTTCAATAGCAACTTCAACTGGTTTATCTTCATTTTCATTTATTAACTCTTTTAAATCTTTTTTGTGCTAATAATCTCAATTATTTTTTCTTCTTGTTGCTCTTCTTTAAGGTAAGTATTGAAAATTTTAGCCATATTTTCTTTTAAATTTTCAACCTATTCTTTAAAAGGAGTTAATTCAGCAACTTTTTTTTCTAAAAGAGCATTCTTTTCTTTTAATTTTTCATTTTTTTGATAAATATAACTATAAGAATCACAATTAAGTAATGTTCATTTACTAAAGCCTTTAACCACATTTTCAAAAGTGAAATTGTTGCCAAAAATAACTTTCTCAACTCCATTTTCTTTTTGAATCTTTACTCAACCATCCTTAGATCAAAAAATGTTTTTCTAAGGTCATTAAAGTTCCAGCAATTTCTGGACTTTCATTTTCCTTAACATTGTCAATAGCATTTCAAATTCTTAGTTTAAAATCATCTTCTTTGTTTTTTAATTGCTTTTTTAGTGTTTCTATTTCATTTAATAGTTCTTTATTTTTTTTTTGTTGTTTATTTATGATGTTTGTCATGATTTTTTTGTTTGTTCCTTTTTTATTTTCTTTTAATATACTATACTTATATCCTTTTTATGATGATATATTAAGTATATAAATTTTATTTTACTACTTTTTTACTTTAAAGGTGGAAAAAGCTAAACTTATTAAACTTAATGACAGTAAAGAACAAATTAACTAATAATGAAGGTGATTTTATTCTAAATATTTTATTCATTTCTGGTATAGATTGGTCTTGGACAAATAATATTTTTGAATTCATCTCTTACAAATGGGTGAATATTCTGGTAAAGATATTCTTGCCTTTTGTAATCCAAAGGAGATGGTGTTAACACTAAAATATATAAAGCTTTAATTTCTTCAAAAATATCTGTTTTTCTAGTTTTTAATAAATTGAATTTAATAAAAGTTTTATTAGCCACTTCCTGAGTTTTGACTACACCAAGGTTAGATACTTTAAAAAGAAAATGTTAATACTTTTGTAAACCATTTAGTTTCTTAAAATAAATTCCCAAAATAGCTTTAATATCTAAGTATTGAAAGCCTTTTTCACCTTTATAACATTGAGTTTTGTTCAATCCTGCTAGGTTAGATCTTTTCACCACATCAACCACATGATCCAGACAATCTACTCTTGTTTTTCTATAAAGTTTTTTAATCAGGCCAAAATTACCATCACATTTGAATTTAGTATGTCCAGCAATCATAAAATTCAATTCAATACTTTCATAATAACCACAAATTACTAAATATAAATAGAATCAAATTGTTACATTATTTTTATTCTGTCCATCAGCATTATCACAAGTAATCTTTAAATATTTTTCACCTTTATTCAATTTCTTAATTCCATCAAAAATCATACTAAGTGTGTATTTGGTCTTTTTCCTATAATTTCATTTTCATTAAGAATATAATTAATTTGCACCCTTACTGCTTCATCTTGAATACCAAATAAATGAACTTTACATGAACTAAGGTAATAAATTTTACTTACTTGTTGATCTAAATGTAGCACATGAACATTTTGAGCTTAATCATAACTACAATGAGCAGTAGCATCAATACTACAATATTGTGTTTTACCCTTAGAATAATGTTGATCAACTAGTTTTCTTTGTTCTTCTGCTAATTTGGTATTTTTATTATAATAATTTCTTTCTAATTTGGCCTTGAATAGATTTTCTTTAAATCTTTTGAGTAGATCTTTGGCTTCATCCTCTTGGCGAGCATTATAATGTAAACTATCTCTAAAATGCTGACAAGTATCACACAAGTCAGTCCTAGGACTCATAATTTGAATTTCTGGTGTCAATTGATGTCATAATTTCTGAATGCATCATATTTTAAAGATTTCAACTTATTGTTTTCTTCCAGAACAGCTAGAAAATCTCTATGTACTAATTTATAACTCATTTCAGCTGGTAAGAATATAATTGATTGAGTTATTCTATTGATACTTCTTCCTGGACTTGATAATCCATAACTTCTGCATAATTTTCTAGGAAATTCTTTACTATTTCTGCAACACTTTTGTCAATTACCATTTTAGTTTTCCATTGAGACATTCTTTTAATATTACCATGAATTCTTGGTAGAAGACCAATATTTATCAGATGATTTCTAATATTTTCAAAATAAGTTCTACCAATTCCTAACATATTAAGATAAGTTTCTTGACAAAGAAGTGTATTGTGATCCAATGGTAGAAAGTTCTTTTATTAGATCTAGTTTTCTTTTTAAGGTATCTACTAGTGCTTATTGATTTACCATCTATTACTTTAAGTTGGACCATTAAAAATATGTCTTGTTCTGATTTAGAAAGAGCTTGAAAAGATTCTCTTAATTCTGTAAAATTTTCCTTAAGAATTCTGAAAGAACAACTACAATTACATCCTTTTTCTAAAAAATCAATTGCTTTTTGATATTCATTAGAACTATTATATTTACTATTACTTTTCATATATACACTTATTCCTATATATATAATTTTATGTTTACTTTGTCCCAATAAAAAATTTGATATAAAAATTCCATAAAAATATTAAGTTTTATAACGTATAACTTTTATGGAAAATCAGT